CACCTCATCTGCACCGCGCTCAGGACAAAAGCACAGAGACACAGGATTTGTGTCTCTGGATTTGAACCCAGGACCTTCTTGCTGTGTAACAGTACTAAAACTGAGCATCCATGCGGACTTCTGTATTTGTAGCGCTGCAGCTATACTCTCGTTAAACTCATGTTAAACTCTTGTTAAACTTCTTCTATAACAGTCAGTCTAACTAACCACAACAACAGCATTGTGGCTCTAACTCCACTAAGAGCTCATCCAGATCAATGCCCGTCTTTCTGCTGTCCTCCTCCGCTCAGCTTTCCATAACATCAGCATGCTGAAACAAATTATAAATGTCACTTTTATTCTTGGTATGAAGGCTTGATTTATGTCTCCTTGGCAGACGACCAGGGAAAAGAAAAGAAGAGGGAGGGATAAACACTCTCATCACATTGCACACAAGGGTCACGCACCCCAGCAGTCATTCGCCCTCAAGTCTGTGAGTTCAGCCTTTCCTTAGAGGAAAAGAAGAAGATCAGAAGCTTCTATGCCTGGTATGAATTACTACAAGAAACCTCTTCCAACTTTGTCAGACTAGACAAACCAGCATCCAACCACGCACACACGAAAAGCCTGCTTGTGTGGGCTTTCTCTTGATCAAGTGGCATCCAATAAGAGGCTTTTTCTGCGTGTTATTACCCTTTATTCCTTTCCCTTTATTTTTTCTGTGTAATACAGACAAAGGGTGAGAAACCCATTTAAATATCAATAATCCTATATCTCCTTTTAAATGTCTGCTGAGGTTTTAATTCTATACGCAAAACCACACGCAAACATTTTCATTACGGGAGTCTGAAACTTCGACAACCAACTATAATCAAGCTAAAATCGCCTAATTCAACAGCACTGATGAAAGCTCGAGAGAAAAGTCTGACTCAGTGTTTCTTGGACTAAATTTATGGGTTTGGATCCTCATTAGATCAAGCGTAAAGAGAAAAACAACAGGTGCAGTTCACACCCAGCGAGACAGCGTTGGTACATTAACACTCATTTCTACACACGATGAAAGATTTTTCTTCAAAAAGGAAAGGCATTCAGCTTTCACATGGCATGGTTGGATCTGTCTTGGTTAATAGTCCCAGAGGGTGTTTGATGGGAACAAAGTTTTTTCAGGGTTATTTCCTTTTTGGAACAAAACATTTATAATAATAACAACAATAAAAAAAAAAACATCAATGAGTCACTTCCAGAACTCACACGAGTCTGTCAGATTCCTCCAGGGATTTAATTTAACTGATGGCTGAATAAAAATACTGAGATTTTAACCCTGTATGGACTAAAAATTCAAAATTCAAACCCTAAAATTTGAAATCAAATGTAATATTGAACAATATCATATTATCTGTGTATTCTTTTTAACTTTTAAATAACTGTTTGGCTTCTATATGAACACTAAAGAAAACTAATGGCTTCATATTATCAAAATTACAATTACATACAGCAACAGAAATGCCTGCAGACTCTAAAACACATTTGCAATGAGGTCTTACCACAAAAAACCAAAAACAAATTACTGGAAATAGCAAAGAAACAAAGCAGTGGGCCCTTGGAGTAAAAGAATAGAAAATTATGTTTTTGTTTTTTGCTTTTTTAATAAATATCTGTGACTGGCTGTGGTTTTATCTGTACAAAGATAAAGAACAGTATGGGGCTTTTTTAATGAAAAGATCCAACCATATGACGGTAACCAAATGGTACTCTGGTATTTTTCCCCTTTTAAATCTTGATGGCGTTCATCAGCTGGAGCTAAAACGCTGATAATTTACTGTCACTGCTACAAACTATAAACCCACAAATATAACTGTGTGGGTAATATAGCACCGGTACGTCAAATATTGACTCAATTCACAAAAGGCAAAAAGGCAAAGGCTCTAGTGGAGAAAATACAAAAAAAAAAGTGCTTCTGCTAATTACAGTTCAATTGAAATACTTTCAATTGTTTTTCCTACAGAAGTGATATTTTATCACAATAATAACAGCTGCTATTAAACTGGTAAGTGATATTATTAAAGCACTAGTTTGTCAGCTTGGCAGACAGACACAGAAATTCTGACTTCCTTGTCAAATACGTCCACTCTGCTGGGTCTTCCTCCTCCTACCTGTCTGTAAGACAAGGGGAGCCCCAGGGTTCCATACTAGGCCCACTGCTGTTCTCATGTGTAACTATAAAACAATGTTTACGAGTGACAACAGGCAAATGCTGCATTCTTATTTCAGCAGACACATATATGGTCTATCTGCTTCAGCAGCATTAGCCTTTAAATTCTTACAGTCGGGTTTTGATGTTGTTTAGTCCAAGCTTGAATTAAATGGGCACAAATCCAGTTTGATTGTAATGTGATGTTTTTACACAGCAACAGTTACTCTCACCCTTGACTCCTCACTGTCCACCCACGGCAGAGATTCGGGCTTCTTCACCGAGCTGTCGGACGAGTCGTCCAGGCTCTTCATTGTCTTATACTTCCTCATCATCAAGCTGTCCACCACCCAGAACATGATAGACTACAGGGGGAGACAGAGACACCACAAGGTGGTACGTACAAAGCGGTCAAAAACTGTCCTGATTAGTTTCACTTTCTCATCATGAAAACAGAACTTACGTTGACTATGAAGGGCACGATAAGCATGACGAGGGCCAGCTCCAGCTGAGGGTTAGCTATGTAGCTCAGCAACACCTCCTGTAACTGGAACAGAAGATGAAATCTGATTAATAATAACAATGGATGGTTGAAGGAGTTTTAAATAAATTGAGGCCGTCAAACAACGACAATTGTTGCTATGACGAAGGCTAATTTTACAACACAAATATTCTCAATGTTACAAAAACAAACTTTCTTTGAAACAGACTTCATGTTTACACTGGGATCAGGAGAAGTCATTTTTTCACCATCTTCCTTGTTTATGTTTCTTGGTCAAAAGTTCTTAAGCGGCAAAGTTTGTTTCTCATGAACTTTACATTTCTGAATTTTTATTTTTTTATTTATTTATTGCATATTTCTAGGAAACAGTGAAGGAAAAAAAAATCACAAGGATTTTATAAGTTTCAAAAACTTCTTTTGGCAAATAAATACTTTTATATTCTCTCCCATATTTGCCTCAAAGACAAACCAAACAATGCCAGATGTATATGAAAATGTCTAGTCTGGTTAACCTGACAAGATCGAAAAGGTATTCAGATTCAAACTAAATTGTGATTCTTCTAGGATGAGATCACAGCTTGGTCAGTTGTATTGGATTAAGTACAGTATAAGACTGGCTAAACCTCGCTGAAGTCTTGGCTGTGCCATGATGTAAAAAGTGGAAATCGTTTCCTCTGCCTAAATGTATTATAATGTCAAAGGATTAGCGCACAATGAGCTGTAAAATCTTCTTACTTTGGACCATCCGGGGACAAGCAGCACCAGGCTGATGACACCTTTCTCTAGCACCATAATGAGCATGTAGACGCCACACTGGCCCAGCCATGCTGCTGCCTGGGGAGGGTCACCTGGAGGAACAAGGATGGGGAAAAAATTAATGAGACTTCATTTGCACTTCATCTGTTAACGTCACGGGCTTAAAGTTCCATGTTTTTATTCCTGAACCCTAATAAATGTCCATCCTGAGTTCCGACATCTGACTTTTGTGGTATCTGGAAGGCAGCATTTGTGCCTGAGATGACCACTTTATGACATCATCCAGAGCTAAAGTGGGGGAAAAAAACTGTAAGAAACAGGGTGTTTAGAAAAGTCTGAAACCTAAGCTCTTTGCTCACCACTGATTACTTCACTGCTAAAATCTGGCTATGTTCCATATGAGCATCCACCACTGCAACAGCACATATGTGACTGAAAATAAGAAAACATTACGGGTGGATTTTAACATGAAACTATAATCAAGCTTCATTTTACTACCATTGCTTTGAACCAGTTACTATACAGAATTGTGGATTTGATTATAATATTGAAGGTGATGAATTTTTTCCCCTGGTCTCAACCTTTCAAAAAAATCTCTGTTACACAGGTGCCTCACCACAGCAAACACAAACGAGGACAGGTCTGTCATTAAGGCAGGAAGGAAGAAGGAAGACTCCAAGCCAGACGCGGGAGGGGGAGGGGGCAAACACACACACACCCCAATTGGAAATGTCAGCGCTCATGTCAAACAAAACAGGGAATTAACTACAATTGTGCCCTTGACCAAAGCACAACTGTAGCCCAGAAGTGAGATGGATTTAATTGGGCATGTTTTAGTAAAATTTTCCATCATACAAGGACGGACATAAAGGAAAAAAACGACAGGAGGTGGAGTGAGGGGGTGCGGTAACTGTATTAAGCCAATAGGAATGTTTTCAGCTGCAGCTGGAGATGCTGGCTATGCTCCCGGTGTACCTCTGGTGGGTCCACAGCGCCCTCTGCTGACAGGAATTAGCACTGCACCTTCTTCATTAATGCGCCTCAGTGTTCATTTTGTGTGTAAATAGATGAGAAGAAAATGAAAAACCATAAAGAGAAGCAAATTATTCGGTTTCACTCACCATATTCTCCAAATATGAGCAGAGTCCACTGCTTGTACTCCACCAACTTGGACACCAACTTGACAGCCAGCCAGATGACCAACATTCCCAGAGTGGCATCCAGCAGGAAGTTCATCAGATAACTTTGGTGAAAAATTAAATTACATTATTGAAGCGACATCCCCGTAGGGCACATCCTAGAATGACTGATGTGCTTCTAAAGAACTTACAGAGAGCAGGGGTCCTCTTTGGTGAGAGTGGACAGGAAGACATTGGCAAAGTGGATGAAGAGAGCACCTATGGCTTGTTTGGACGTATCAAAAAACCTGGAAAATAGCACGGTGGACTCAGTTTATATTTTCTGGTTCTGACTGACTTGAAAAGTGAGATTTTTATTTTTTTTTTAAATGTTATGATTTTTTGTGTTCTTTTGAATAATTCGAGAGGAATTATTTTGTAGCTGGAATAGAAAACGTTAGGATAAAGGACAGGGCAGGGTAGATATGTCTAAAGAGAAAATGAAAAATGCCTGACCAGATCCGCCATGGTCGTCTGATCCCTACAGGCTCCCGGAACCTCTTCACTGCAAACAAAGAAAATCAATTGATTGATTGATTGTCCTGCAAAACAACAACATAAAGCACAGTTTCTTACCACTGTTTTCACCAATCTGTGAGCAGGCAGAGGGGAGAAAGGTTGAAGATAAAATACAGATGAATCATCTTCATCTCACACAGCCCAGTGGGCTCAGTAAACAGGCACCGACTGTTCCTATAAATCCACCAGGGTCGAAAATGGCAGAGAGCATGTGGAAACAGAATTAAGGTCTCCTTCAAATGGAAATTGCATACTTCACACGGGGTAATGTGTGAAGTATTGTGAAGTATTATATATAAACTGTATGCAGACCAACTGGGCCTTTCTTAAAGGTCCATCACATTGAGAAAAAAATATTGGTACATAAGGCACAATGATTGATATTGTCTAGATTCCTCAATCAGCAGGTTAACTCGAAACTGAACATCTCAGTTTCTGACAAGAAGAAACTGACAGAAGTCACAATAACACAAACAGACCATAAAAACTAATAAAGCTAAACGCCTGTAGCATCATCTTTACTGAAGACGCTTTCAAGGATGACATTTTTATGTCTTTCGAACGAATGACGTCCAAGTACGAACTCCCTAAAAGAAACCTTTGGAAAAGGCCCATCAATATCTCTGCAATACAGGAAGTGTTACAGAGTAATCCGATGGCTATGGCTACGTGCTGGCAATGTGACAAGAGTACAGGCATATTTACATTATTTATTTATATTTGCTATAGGTATGCCAAATGACATGGAATTTATGGAAAAATAGAATAATGTTTATAATAGTGATGTTGTGAAAGTTTGATTTGAGATGGAAGGACCCCAGCTTTGTCACTAATCTATACTTGGTTCAAACTTAAAGGATCCTGGACACAAAATAAATAGTAATAAGCATGAAAGTAGGGTGTCGATTTACTTTCATGACAGCAACGGAAAAACAAGGCGGGGCAGACTGACGTACTAAATCTCCAGCCTTTATCTGAGTTCCATGAGTGCAGGCAGAACAGTGAGTCAGTGGAAGGAAACTCCCAAAAATAGCTTTGAGGAAGACAGATGAGTGGAGGGATGTACGGTGCAGGTCCGCCTGCAACTCTGGCCATAACTTAAGATCTAATGATGCTAATAATGCTTCACTGCACACAAATAGTTTGTAAATATTAACACATACATGTGGCCTGAATGACCAAGAATGACACTCAGAGAACCAAAGGGGGGGAGAATAAGAGCGAGAGGAGGGATATTGATTCTTTTGCTAATAAGTAACTAAGTGGAGGTTAGAGCTCATTGATCGCTCCCCCTTAAGGCCTGACCTGATTCTGCTGAACTTCACTGCTCAGGTTTCAGCATGCTAATTAGCTGATGAAATCACCACGACTGCACTGACCTTTTAAAGTACTGATTATTAGATTATATGCCAGCACTCTAGAGAAATAAGTTCATATTGCGCTGGATCAGCATCCATGTACTCTGTTTTTGTGTGGCATTTAGGAATACTTACAAAAAACAAAGAAAAAAAAAAAGGAAACTGTCCTAATGTTTTCCCTGAACACATATGTGCAGACAGTTGTGTAACAATATCCCTGGCAGCTGACTGAAGTCACTATAATTCAGGGAAACGACTGAGAACAAATTAAAACCGAAAATTAAATATGATCCAGAAAGTCATACAGGTAATCAAGCATTAACACAAACTATATACGGTTTCTGAGAGGCATCGAGTTTAGCTTTTATTACAGCTACTTGTAACAGTCACACCTTTCAGCTGCCAAAAAAATAATAATTAAAAAAAAAAAAAAAACAGAGCCAAGGGTGCCAAAAGTGGTTAGATGCTTGGCATTCCCCAAGTCAGCTGCCCCAGAATCACAAGTTTCTTAGTAAGTCAACAGCCATTGTTAGGGTTGAGCAAGTAAACACTCCAGTTTACAAGGAGCATCTTGTTGAGCTATTAAAACGGCATTGTTTTTAATCATCACCCTAACCCTAACTTTGTATTTCGGGATAATTCCAGAGGAAGCTGAAAGACTCGACTGTGCTTACAACTGGACAAGTGCTGGACAACTGAACACACAAGAAAACTGAAGGGAACAAAACAAAACAGCTTAATTAACTTCAGTTAGCACACTGAGCCTACTATACTGAGGCCAAACATTTGCTTTGTTCGTTTTAGAGGCGATTTAAAAATTTTGGCACGGTCTGAAAACCTTGCTCATAAGCTCAAAGAGTCGTGCAGACAACTTCTTTAATTTAATGCGGCAACAATCCTTAATTATTGATTGATTGATTGATCATACTTTATTCATCCTGAGGGAAATTGGGTTAAGGCTGCCAGCCGTGCCAGCGCCGTCTTACCCTTCCAACCATACATACATTACACAAACATCACATGGGGAAGACGGGTCAGAGAGGTATAAGATGGAAAAAGCATAACATGAGGAAAGATAAGGAGAAAAAAATAACTCCCCCCAGACTGAGCTCCAACAGGGAGATCAGTTTGAGAACAGAAAAAAACACCTCTGCACATGAAAAAACTCTTAATACACCAAAGAAACACATGACAAGCAACAGGGGTGGGTAAAGGGTGAGAGACAGCCAATGTAGACAGTGCATCTGGGCCTGCAGCATAAGCGCTGGTCTCCTTGATCCACCGTCAGCATCGGAGGGGAATAAGCGTCGAAGGCGTTTGGAGGGGGAGGGGGGATGAGTGTACATCTG